ACCCTAGAAACGGTGAAGTTTCTTGGCCTGGAAAGGAAAGCACTGGTAGATTCTGGATCACAGATCAGTATTATGCCTCTCGATTTGCTGTTGACAGCACAGCAAAAAGGATTTGACATAGATGGAGATGTGGAACAGATTCCGCGACAGGAATATCCACCAGTTTACGATGCTTCCGGCAATTTGATGAAATTCAAAGGTGCTATTCGTCTGACCTTAAAAGTACCCAACGGACCTCAATGCCGAGCTGCCTTCTTTGTTAGAAAAGGAAGAGATAACAGGGTAGTGCTGGGGACAAATATCCTGCACGCACTCGGCTATACGATCCGCAAGGGAGGTCAGGCCTGCAAAGGCGAGCGGAAACCACCAGATCAACAAAGGGAACGGCATAACAAGCGTACCAGAAAGTCCAAAAAGGCTATGGAATCGCAGCAGGCCAAAGTAGCCGCATGTGTCTGCAGTAGACCTGGCGGAAGCAATGGACTGGAGCTGAGGCAGACCAAACGGACACAAGTGTTGCGGTCTAGCGATGCGTCAGTTCCAGGTTCACATTGCAACACTGCAAATGGCGCAGTAAGAAGCTCCGTCATCAGTGTATTGGCACCAAGAATGTACCGTGTCGGTAAGGTTGTAGAGCGGACCACATCAAATCCACCGAGAAGAGTGCCTCTTCCTCTTCAGCGACCAAGGGAAAATAGAAATGAGCCGGTGTGGAAGCAGAAATTCTCATTCAGAGACAGCAAAGTCAACGAGAGACCGTTCACTTCAGGTGACCGGGTGGATATGAAGGGGGCCACGGAGAAAGCTCGACCAAAACACCCCAAACCGGTCAGCGACCAGAGAGGGCTAGCTGAAGTGAGCAAATCAAGTGACAGTAGTGGCTCCTCGATCAAGCAGGTAAAGGCGAATGATAAGCCTGAGCGCGTTCCGGATCAGCTAAGTAAGCCCCAGAATGTTGACAATAAGCCTATAACGGCAACTAAGGTCAAAGCAAGAAGGGGTAGATTTAGAAAAGCTACAAACTCGAACTCTAAAGTTTCGTGTCGCAGAGTCGAGGTCGGAGAGTCGATAGACTTGCTACATCGTCTTCATCCTTGCGAATACGGTATTTGCGAGGAGCGTGCCAACATGGCGTTAGCAGGATACGACGCCAAGGATATGGATCACCATGGACCAATGGAAGACGTGATTACGAAGCTACATCCCGCGACGCACCCTGGACTTCGAGAAGCTGCATCGAACTTGCCGACATTTGATTTACGGAATAGGAAGAAGAAGGAAATTGGCGCCGATCAAGAAAACGACGCAAAACGGAAGAGGATGAGGAAACCGGAAATCACGTACTTGCGAGACCCCACAGCAAAATGGATGGAGCAAGCCGCAAACATGAAGCAGCGCGGACGGTATCACGGGCAAGTCCCCGGAGGTGACTATTCGAGGAGGGGCGTGTGAAGAAGAAATACTCGATGTTATCAGTTTATCAAGGATAGTATGACGTGCTGTAAAATGTGTTGATTGTTTCATTTCTTGAGTTTGTCTCACTTTTTGCCCTTTGGACATCGCCAGCGGCTCGTTTCGATTGTACATACACTTCGAGGCTAATAAACCTGCATACGACGCACGTGGCCCACATCACCCACTGGACAAAAGACACAACTAAATAATTTTTAAAATTTTTTAAAAATCCAAATTAGCCTTGTGAAAATTTTTTTTCGGATTTTAGGGGTCTTAGGCCCGAATTTTGAGAAGCATCCCCAAAAATTTTTCGGAGAGCGTGGCTAACGCCACGCACCTTCATTTGAAAAAATTCCCCCCCCCCGGACGGAAAACCACCTTTACATGCCAGTACCCTCCCCCCACCATGTTTTCGTTCGGCATCACCCCTATGCCAACCGATTCCAAGTGATACAGCCCACACGTACACACAGACTTGTACGCAGAAATAGAAACGAATTGGCATTTAGCTTCACATACAGTGCTGGCCATAGCTATAGAGCCACCCTAAATCATGGCAATTTGCCCTGTTCCGGAAAAAATTGTCTGCAAAACCATTATTCTCTGTGTAAACCAACGCTGTATCGTCGTTTAGAACTCCTTTCAATTTCATTAACTTCGCCCAAAGAAAAATCAAAAAAATTGAAAAACCTGTTCCAAAAGCCTGATCACACTATAAGGGCAACTCTTGTTTCCAAGTAATACCCTATTTTCAGGTGTATAAGAAGCACCCTTTTTGCTCTAAACGCAAGCAGACCCAGGCGTGCCGCCGCGCATATATCTCGCGAAGCGGTCGCCTTATCGCATACTGCTCTCACTTAACGCGCTCCATGATGACAATCAGTGTTTTGGTGTGTTCGCCTTTAGAGCGAAAAGGGTGCGGCTTATACACCTCAAAATAGGGTACTACATTCTTCAAACCTAGAACTTTTTTTTGTACGGTTATAACATCAAAATATGAAACATTTGTTATACCTGGGATTTGTCTCCCTATATAAAGAAAATCTATATTGTTTTTTTGCTCTAAAATGCTTAAAAGTCACATTCTTTTGAGAAACTGCTAGTTTCCTGAGTTTTCCAGGCACTTCTTTAATTTTGTTGAAGGTATTAATTTTTTGAGCCTTTGCAATGATCGCGGTGAAGAGCGCTCGAGTCATTTTTGCGTAGTCGCTGTTATTGATGAGCGAACCTCAACCTTATCAGAGTTGTAAGCACGCTTTGAACCACAAAACCCAATTTCTAACAAGCGAATTCTGGTCAAAAGTTGAACACTCTGTTTGCATGACGATGTACCTATGCAAAAGTTGTCAGAATTGTAAAAACGCAATCGCAACGTCGAAATCAAAGTGCTTCATCTGCAGTTCAGTTGTGCGCAGAGAATCTAAGGCCCCGGACAAACTTCACGCGACTTAATCGTCGCGATCTAATTGCCAAGACTTCCATTCATTTCCATTTCACATTCAAAAATTTCGGGCTGGAAAAGTATCACAACCGGATGCAAGTTGATCGGCATGGAATGATAGTGTAACAGTTGTCTCGTCGCGATTCAGTCGCGACGATCAAATCGCGTGAAGTCTGCCCCGGGCCTAACACGACTCCGAATTTTACTTATTTACTCAACAAGCCGTCTTTATAATGCTACCTAAAATTGATCACACAATTTAAAGAGCTCTACAGACGTTTAGAAAGTTGTGTAGTGAAATCAGTACGCGTAAAACCCCTGGTACACCACTATTCAGGATTTTTGGAAACTTTTCCCGAAGCATGACAAATTTATAATGACGTTGTAAGTGAGAAGTTCCTTCCATGATCCTAAGTAAGGAAGACGAATCGGCGGTTCGCTCCATACTGCAAATCTAAGTTGAAGCCAGCTCTATAAAACTGTACTTCAAATTAGGTAAGAGACTTCTTAGGGAGAGAGAAATCAACATCAAACACCGTATACATACTTTTGGGGACACCTTGTATTTTCCCTGTGCCCTCTTGCCTAGAAATGGCATGGCCGCTTACCCTCAGTTATCTGAGTGGATAGAAACTTACGAGCGAGCCCTGTGGCCGTCACCAACGAACCCAATGGTTCCGGAAACCAATGCGTAGGCTTAAGGCTTAACCCACGAGAACGCTATTCACAAAACTAGTGGGTTCGCGTACCCATAATGCCTTTTGTGAATATCGATTCAACCCAGCGGGACTATTTTCGCTTACTCACTGGGTAGCGGAACCCACTGAGTTCGTTGATGAATACGGCTACTGGTATCGCTTCCAGATGGGACATTTTACCTCCTTTTCTCAGGGAGTTCTCGCCATCTGGCTGAAAAATCCATTTTTGGAAACATTTATTCTGAAAGAACTTTGCCTCGAAAAAGAAATTTGCGGGCTTTGGTCTCCGTAGGTAAATCCTGAAGGGCTTCAAGAGACACATTCTGCCAGAGGAAGTGTGCTGGAGGTTATCGCCTGGTGAATCTTGCTTTTGCTGGCATTTACTCTGAGAAAACCTGACTGGGTCCCAGAAAGTACGGAGCGAGATTTGGTCTTGCTGGACATAACACCAGTCATATTAGAACACTGTTGAAGTTGAGAATCTTTACGTACCTACGCTTTTAAGAAGGCAATGAGCAAGTCAACACTTTCGTTGGAAAAGAAAATTTAAAGCTTCTTAAACAGAGGTCCCATCTTAAAGACTCAGTTTCAGTTTGGCTCACATTAATTGTGCTACACTAGGGATGATATATTGAAGTACTCAGAACGTATCAGCCAACCCACTTGCTATCTACCCGTGGGCTGCTAGCCTTATACAGTGCTGGCCACAGCTATAAAGCCACCCTAGAAAATCGCGGCAATTTGCCCTGTCTTAGATAAAAATGCTTGAAGAGCCACCGTTCTGTGTGTAAACTAACGCCATATCATTGTTCAGAACGGCTCTCAATTTCGTTGATTCTGCCCGGGGAAAACTTGAGAAATTTGAAAAAACGCGTTCGGAAGGCTGATCACAGGCGAATTTTAACTTCTGACCAAGATAACTCTTTTTCAAAACCGTTTTTTTGAGCGCAATAAAAACTATTACAAACAGCAAAGTTTTGGCCACATGATGCATGCTTTTGTGGCTGTGGCTGTTGCAGATTTTTGCTTTTGTTGGATTGTATCTACTCAGAGAGAGATTTTCTAGTCCGAAAAATTCCAAAACATTTCTCCAAAATCCTATATTTTGAGGGTGTTTAATTTACTCTTAGATAGACTAGGTTCGCGAGAAATTTCCTCATTATATAGCGATGGTTGGTTGTCAAATGAATTTTGGATTTTACGGCATTTTTCTTGGAGAAAATTTTGCAAAAAAATGAAAAGAAACCCACTTTTTCCAGCATTTTTAAAATGCCTTTTTTGAGATTTTTTATTTTTTTTCTCCTTTGAAAGATCCGCTCCAGGTATAGCGAAAATTGCACAGTCGTTTTTTGTTGAGGTTATTATGCAGCATGGATGGGCCTCCATCAGTTTCAACAGCTTATTCCAGAATGACACTTATGCAACACTCAATTTTGCGCCTGCTTTTCATGATTCATCTTCTTGCTGTTGGTGACGCAGGGATAAGGATTACTTGCAGGGGAAAGGATGCCAAGGTAATTCCTCAAGAAAATTCGTTGTATCTTCCGATGTTAGATGGCCTACCTGCTGACGCTCTGTTTTCAAGGCTACTTCCGGACAAATTCGCAGAAGCAGTATTAGCTGTGGATGCTAGCGCGGCGCGCACGTATCTTCATCAATGTGAACCCCGCTCTTGAAGCGCTCAACGGCTAATGAACGCAGTCGTGTTTCTGTTTCTTTCTTGTTTCCTTTCTTTCTTTCTTTCTTTCTTTCTTTCTTTCTCTTCTTCTTTCGTTCTGTTTCTCTTGTTTCTGTTTCCAGCAGTAGCTTATATGTGCAGGATGTCTGAATGATAATTTCACATCTTTCGGGTACTCTCGCTCAAACCTTGCAACCCGTTTCGCGGACGTATCTCTGGCATGCCCAAGCGAATGAATCCATTAGAATGCCTATGATGCGCTCGCGATAGCAAGGCTGAGCTAGGCGATCCCGAGACCCCGAGCCATTGTAGCTGTCACACTGCCAATGGCAGTAGTCATTCTTTTGTCTGTTTTTTAATGCCAACAAGCAGTTTTCATAGTTTGTAGAAATCTTAAGATCATGTTTTAGAAAATACCGCATATATGATATGCACTGGTTTTAGTTGTGCCAAGAGACGCCGATTGGAACATCTGCACGTCTGCAAAGCGAGGTATGGCATCGCGGTAAGAGATGTTACGGGGAGGGGAGGAGGGAGGGGAGACTTTTTATACGATAGGGAACTTCGCACCTAGTCTTCACCTACCTCACACCTAATTCGCACTTCTCAACCCACGTAATGTGTCAGATTCTCTCTCCACTCCAGGTGAGAGAGGAAGGGGGAAGGGAGACGTTTTATACGAGGGCTCCGTTCAATTATTTTATTTATTTTTTTATTTTTATTTTGTTGTTACATAGGGTGACCTCCATGTGCAAAGTCGGACAACAAAAACAAAAACGTAAAACAAAAGAGAACAATAAAACAGAACACATTAACAACATGATAAAAAAACCAGCCTGAAGTGTGAAAGATCAAACGCAGCTTCTCGATTGTAAGTAGCTCTTAATGTTTGTCTTGAAGGTAGATAGCTTGACCGTCAACATGCCGTTCCTTACCATATGATCAAGATCGCGTAAAACACGGCAAGTATAAAAGTTTGCTCTGACTCTGGACTTTGCTCTTGGTAGCACTAGTTTCATACGTCCTCCCCGAGTATTAGACTTTCTGATAGGAAAATAATTAACACTCAGTTTACACTCCCCAAACATGATTTTATGCGCCATGATCAAATCAAACATACGCCTTCTGTGGGCTAAAGTCGGAAGTTTGAGGTTTAGATTACGTGTCTTTCCATCCGGGATCTGGTCATATACCAATCCAGTAGATCTAATAAATAATTTACGCGTGAAACTATTTTGAACCTTCTCAAGATAGTCGACTGTTTTGCGCAAATGAGGGCTGTAGATGATAGTACCATATTCAAGCATAGGCCTTAAGAAAGTCTTATAAGCCTTTAGAAAAACTTCAACCTTGTTGCAGGAGAGCGCCCTGAACAAGTTATAAACAGCTCTCATGGCTTTATCAGCAATGAGCTTACAATGTTCATCAAATGTAAGGTCATTTCTGATTAGGAAACCCAGGTCACGTATTGACTCAACTATTTCAAGCTCTTTCCCTCCCATGGAATAATTATAGTTTCCTTTGTATGGGCCTATGTGTAGCACCTTGGTTTTCTCTAGGGAGATTGGCAATTCCCACTTCAGCGACCACTTATAAACACCATTCAACGCATCCTGCAGCAGCCTATATCCACTATCATCCATAACAACTCCATACAGCTTAAAGTCGTCGGCAAAAGCAGTGCAACTCACTCCATTAGAAACTGGGATAATGGGAAGATCATATGTGTAAATATTGAACAATATTGGTGAAACCTCCTTGCGGTACTCCACTATTCATTTTTCTAGGTCTAGAGAATGAGTTGTTTATTCGTACTACAAAGGTTCTGTCAGTCAGAAAGGCTCTTATTCCAGCAAGGATCCGCGGATGTATACCCACAGCTTCAAGTTTTTGCATGAGTTTACTATGTGGGACTTTATCAAAAGCCTTAGCGAAATCCAAGTAAATAACGTCCGTACTCAATCCGTTTTCTAAATGCACCGTCCATTCATTAAGAGATTGAAGCATAGCAGTAGTGGTGGACCTTCCTTTCTGGAATCCATGCTGCGCAGTGTCAACAACATTGTTTTCTTCCAAATACTTCACTATGCTTTTCTTTAAAATTTTCTCAAACAAGCGCGCAAATATTGAAGTAATACTAATGGGTCTGAAGTTTTTTGGACAAGTGCGGGGTTTCCTTTTAGGAATTGGCGACACAAAAGACGTTCTCCACCTCTCCGGAACTTCCGCTCTCATCATGCTCAAATTGAAAATGTATTCCAAAGGACCAGAAATAATGTCCGCTACTGATTTAAATAACTTGGAGTGGAAGGAAATCAGGAGTCAATGAAGTGGACTTAGGTCACTTCATCAAAAGTTTATAGATTTCCTCTCTGTAAAACCACACCCCTTCACTCGTGGCCTGGAATTTATCATAACCGTAACATCATCTTTCCCACTTTTATTTTGGAATGCATTCTCAAAAACATTAGCCAAACATTCCGCTTTATCAATCAGAAGTGATGATTTTACCGTTATCAGTATGTAAAATCCCAAGCACACTTTTCTTCTTTAGCTTTGAACTAACCATTTTGAAAAACAGTGATTTATTGCCGCTATGTATGATTTTGTTTTCCACAGAGGAGTTGTACTCTTGTAAAGCTTTTCTAAACTTATTGTCCAACCTAGTATAAACATCCCTTTGTCAGCCCCACCATTCTCAACTAAATTGATCCATGCTCGTTGCCTTTTTTTTGTCAAGCCTAATAAGGTGGTTTGGCATATAACGTTCTGTCATGAGAACAGGGGTCAGCGGGACATAACAATCAATGCTATGATGCAGCATATATAAAAACATCTCATACATTTGGTCGACTGAGCTTACACTACCGAAGGACCCATACCAGTCTAACTCAAGCAGACATTCGCGCAATCCCTGTATGTCCGCATGCTTGAAGTCCCTGCGTTTGACAACGCATACATCGTGGGCATTGAAGGTGTTTATAGAAAACCTGATCGCTGAATGATCGCTAGTTCCCAAAGGTGGATGTGATCGGATAAACAAAAGAGGAGGGGGCTTATTGTTCCTCATTGGCAAAGATTTCAGTCCAAATATGGTGTTCAAGGAATCAGTGCCGGTGCTTCTACTTTGACCTCGCTTAGTAAACTATTGTCATTTGTGAGGATGAGATCCAGTATATTATTTCCTAAGGTACTATTATCCACTTTTTGGATTAGCCCGTACAGTTTGCAGATTTTTAGAAAATTTCTTTCCGTCGAATTCGACGCTTTGGGTGCATGTAAATCATCCCAGTTAATTTCAGGGAAATTAAAGTTTCCCATGAGAATCACTGAATTAGAACTAGCTAGCAAGTCAGAGATAGCAGCCAACATCTGCAAGGTTGCATTAGATGAGCAGTCTGGGGCCCTGTATATCAAGATTAGCCGAATTGCCCTATAATCGGAGATATCAGTAGACATTATTTCATAGCTTTCCGGCACTGATCTCTTGAACACCATATTTGGACTGAGATCTTTGTCAATGAGGAACAATAAGCCGTCTCCTCTTTTATTTATCCGATCACATCTATGTGTTATATACAGTGACCGCCAAAAAGTTGCGGACAAGCCGCCTGCCTTTTTTCATCGCTCATTTTCGGATGGAAACAAAGATGAAAAAATGATTGAATTGCAAGAGGTAATAGAGCTCTTTAACCCATTGACGACGATGTGGACCACCGGTGGCCTACGCGCTTTTTGCTGCCAGGGCCGATGTGGACCCCCGGTGGCCCACACCTCTCGCAAAGTCGTATTATTTGCAGGTCTAGTATTTCCACATATGTATATTTTTTCCAGTTTTTTGTATTCTTAGGACCTATAGGGTCTGTCGTTCAAGAAAATGTTAATACTTGTTCACAAAACAATGTTGCATTTCGTAAATAAGCACGAAACCTTCCCACACTGAAAGTGTTGTGCAAAATCGCGTCGTCCCACAGCGCCCCCGCGCAAAATTAGGCGTCGTCGTCAATGGGTTAAGAGCTACAACCCACACATTGCGCTTTTTGGAAAATGTATATTATAAAAATTTTAAAAAAATCTTTTCCTATGAAGAGTCCGAAAATGGCCGCGTCACAATGTCGCGGACATTAGTTCTTCGAACGCGAAAAATTTCTTTTAGGGGACAGATAAGCATACTATGTTGTAGAGCTCATCAAGGACAACAATCGGGTAGTGGTTACTTCCAAAAAAACCCAAGCTTGAATTTTACTTTGCTTTTTTTCAAAAATAACTTGTAATTCCCTTTTTAAGCCAAATGTCTTTACATGGGAACCTACTCAAGATATCCCAACAAAGCTTAATGGATAAAATAAATGCTTTTTGACATCTTCTATGCATCCGACGTGTGCTGTTGAGTTTTTTTGCCGAAAATGGCTCTTGACAGTGAGTGCACATGACCCCATCTGCACCTCGCCACTGACTTGCACCGCCTTGCGGGCTTGTAGCTTGGCCGGCAGTCAATCTACGAGCTTGCACATAAGCTCTTTCGAAAGAGTGTGAGTTTCTCGACATGATGGTATGCAAACGAGGTGGGTTTGGGAAGTCCCGGAGAATCTGCGGATGGGGTGATACGCAGCTTCAGTTGTAGGCTGAGGATTTTTCAGTTAAAGTTGAGCAAAGCTCCTTTTGCCACGAGTGCCATCCCGAGTATTCAAAACTGTTAACTTTCTTGTAATAGACCCATTTCGGAGCTCTAAGACTGTTCTGGTGTTGATAAGAGCGTTCATTCCATTCGCCTCTAAGGCTGCGCTTTAGCACCCCATCCGTCAAATCTTTGGGATTTCTCAAACCCACCTTATTTGCATACCATCGTGTCGAGAAACTCACGCTCTTCCGAATAAGCTAATGTGCAGGCTCGTAGATTGACTGCCGGCCAAGCTACAAGCCTGCAAAGCGGTGCAAGTCAGTGGTGGTGCAGGTGGGGTTATGTGCACTCACTGTCAAGAGCCATTTTCAGCAAAGAAACTCAACAGCACAATGATGCATAGAAGATGTCAAAAGGCATCCATTTCATCCAATTAGCTTTGTTTGGATATCTTGAATAGGTTCCCTTGTGAAGAAATTTGGCTTAAAAAGGGGAATTACAAGTTGTTTTTGAAAAAAAAGCAAAATAAAATTCACGATTGGGTTTCTTTGGAAGTAACCACTACCCGATTGTTGTCCTTGGTGAGCTCTACAACACAGTTTGCTTATCTGTCCCCTAAAAGAAATTTTTCGCGTTCGAAGAATCAATGTCCGCGACATTGTGACGCGGCCATTTTCGGACTTTTCTTAGGAAAAGATTTTTAAAATTTTTATAATAAACATTTTCCAGAAAGCGCAATGTGTGGGTTATTGCTCTTGAAAAGCTCTATCACCTCATGCGATTCAATCATTTTTTTATCTTTGTTTTCCATTCAAAAATGAGCGATGAAAAAAGGAAGGCGGCTTGTCCGCAACTTTTTGGCGGTCACTGTACCTATCTCCAAAACTACCGAACAAAGAAGCTTCACATATATTTTCATTCAGCCATGTCTCTGTGATTCCCACTACAGAGAGCTTACCAGTAATGATATGAAAATTTTAAGCTGTCAATGTCTTTGCTTAATGATCTTGCATTGGCTAACAAGGAGAGGATACTTAGTCGAAAGCACCAATCCAGACGAGACATATATCATCTTAAAGCGCTTGAAACGCTGATTCCAAATCTGCAGTTTCTAGCTGCGGAGCGGTTTCGTAGAGGAAGTTATGAGGAGTGTTTCCTCTGGAGTTGAGGCGCCCTCCACCAGGTCTCTCCCTACCTATGAGCACTGTAGAGAAGTACCAACTGGTGGCAACTGACCTAGTGGTAAGTGACATGCTTGATAAAGAGAGTGTTAAGGTTTTAACCCCCTTCGCATGCTAAATTGAACTTCTAAATGGCTTTAAAGCCCTAAAGCATGAAACTTTTGATGATATTAATACTAATCGAAGTTAGAAGTTTAAAAAAACCAAAGTAATATGAGTATTACAGTCTTTACTATAATCTTTATTCAAGTTACTTACCATTAGGTCAGTTGCCACAGCTGATACTCCTCTACAATGCTTAAAGATGCGGGGAGACCGCCGCAGGGCGCTTAAACCCCAGAGGGGGACACCCTTCATAACTCCTCCTACAAAACCGCTCCGCAGCTAGAAACTGCAGTTTTGGAATCAGCGTTTCAAGCGCTGTAAGATGACATATGTCTCATCTGGATTGGTGCTTTCGACTAAGTATCCTCTTCTTGTAAGAAGCAACTCAAAGAGCTATTAACAATCCGGGGAGAAGCTAAGTGTTTAAAGGGACGGACTGTTACACCCCAGCCTGACCTTGCTTGATCCTAGTGGCATCATTATCAACGCCTTCAATACAATCAATATGGAAACATTAGATACACTTCCCGAGCACACTGACATAATCGATTGATCCCGAGATGATTGTCCACTACGGCGAGCCATCCGTTGGTTACGGATCTATGATTACGGAATTATCTTGACCTTTTGGCGGCATGTCAGAATGCTAATGTTACTGCCAAGTATCGATTACAATAGAGAAGAAAGTCTCTATTTTAAAATGTATTAGATAAATATTTGTAAGACACATGAATAAATGCAATCAACTTATTTCGTAATCTTTTCAAGCAAAATTCTGAACAATTTTCTTCCAAACCATGCTAAACGGTCGGATAAATGCGATATTTTCGAGCAGAGGAAGTTTTTTTTCGGGACGAGGAGGGGGGGGAGGAACGATATCTAGATTCAAAAAATAAGTGAGAATCCTTATTATTTACTGGTGAAAACTCGTTGTTATTATGCCAATATCGTTTTCATTTCAGCTGTTTTTTCTTTGATAATCAAGCTCAAGCAAAGCCAAGGAAGCGGAATGGGTCAAAATTTCAAACCTGCGTCCCTTTGAGATTTATATCGAAAGGGAATTTCGGGAATTTTTCAGTAAAATGCTGAATGGTTCGAAGTAGCATAGCTATTTTTACCTGAAAAAGTGTCTTTTTAGAGGATGTGGAACTATCATTAACTCAAAATGCAAATGTTGAATCCAGAAGAGTTCAGTGACCTACAGTCAATTCATATAGCACTTCTGACAGCCATCAATAGTTATAGGATTACGTGTTGTTCTTTATGGCAAGGAGCATGGATCAGAATCCATGTTCGACTATCCATAAATCTTGGCATAGTTTGAATCTTCTAGTTGATACCTTTAGCAGCGTCCAAGATTGGTACAGATATTCCACAATATACAGACTGACGTTTCGGCAAACTCGTCTTCAGAGCCTGAAGAATTGACGGCACATAAGTGAACTATCCCATCAAATACCTTGTCGACAGAAAAGGCTACAGAAAAGAGCCCAATTTTTTAGAAAAGCAACAGTATCAACCAAACGCAAGATCAAGCCAGTGCTCACCTTAACATAATATTTATTGGATCGTTGCCAATAGCTCAGAGATGTGGATGCAGTCGTATGAGAAGTTCCTCTCTCTCACTTCTTCTCCCTTCCCTATCCCCTTCCTCAGGTACTACACGTGAGGGTGCCAGACTTCATACCTCCGTAAGAGTTCACAAATCGAACTTCGGAATTGCCCATTGTATGAAAAATCACTCATTTAATTGTATCTTTCTGTGTAACTAGTGTTTGAACAATCGTCGATGTATCATCAAGCTATCCACACGAGTTATTGAAATTCAAATAAATGATTATTTAGAGTGGAAATTTAGCTTCAAGTAAATACTGATGCTCAGCCTCTTCCTCCACCTCCTCCTCCGCCACCACCGCCACCATCGCCACCACCGCCACCACTATGCATTAGTGAGGAAAGAAGGATTAAGATGTTGTACGATTTAGGACGCAATCCGATTTTCATGGCAGATGTGAGTCTAAGAAACTAGTATTTTCTTGATTTTCTGAAAGCGGATGATTTGCTTGTAATTTCGATATTCTTGTGTACTTGCAAGCAAAATCTATAAAAATTGTCTTAAATATACAGTATAACGCTCATTATCTCAAGAGCTTTGATGACGCTCAGACAAAATCCATGCTTATCCGATTACTATGTATGTAATTCACCAGCAGGCCTTAGAAGTGTAGCATCTGCGTTGATTCTTCTTCACTTTGTAAGGCGAAATATGAACTGCAATTCACGGAAAGCTATCCTTCCAGAGATTGCTTACCAAAGCGTTCTGACATGGCAATCACCGATGAGCCGCATGCTGTTATCGTCCAGTCCACGATTGCTGCTACTCTGCTCTACGTCTCTGACCTGCATTAAGCAGACTGACATGCTGACAACATGCAGCAACACAGTGGCAACAACGTCACCTATTAATCTTCGCCGTGTTGTTGCATGTTGCAGCATTTGAGCCATACTAACCTTTGATTCAACTGGCTTGGCTCCGGGAAGGCGGAGTTTTGTGGTATAATGAGGCCGCTCGCGCCCGCGACGCGCCTGCGTCTCTCTCGCGCGAGTGCTCTCTGATCATTACCTAGCCTTAGTTAGGTCACGAAGCCCCGCCTTTGCCGAAGCCAAGCCAGTTGAATCAAATGGTACCACAGGTCACGCAGAGCAGGAGCAGCAGCAATTGCAAAGTGGACGATTGCTTTTTGTAATCGGAGAAGCACTGCTTTCGCCGGGACGGTAAACAACTCAATCTCGCAATTACTTGCTGTATTCATTGAATAACGTGCGCTTATGAAAGGGAATCAACGGCTTTCTCTTTTTCCTTTGTAAGTTTCTGTAAGTTCTTTAATGACTAATGAGGGGTACAAAAATAGCTGCATTATCATTGTAGATTTTTATATAAATCTTGCTACATTTTGATTTACCGCCATCTGTCATACATTTTTTATTTTGATAGGGCTTTACGTACCATTCGATAAAGCAAAGCAAACACTACCAGAAGTGTGCAAAAGTTTGCAAAAGTTTTGCTCTTCGATGAAGCTAGATTCTGAGAAGTTCCGAATGCTTAAAAAATTCATGAGAATCTTATTTTTGTCTAAAAAAATCCTACGGAGCTCTCTCTTGCTAGCACATTGCTGCAAATCAGGCAATCATTTGTGAAATTATTGTATTAGGTCGTTCCGAAAGTAATGTCGCTTGTGAATGAACGCCACTATTCGTGGAATTAACATTTTCAAGAGATCTTAGGAGCATTCGATGCAGCATTTCATCTTCTTTCTAATGGTTCTATCTTCCTGCATAATGTTCAATGAGCCCTCGAAAAATTACCAAAATCTGCGACTCATGCTTTTTGCCATGGTAAAGTTCGGCTATTTTTCTAAATTTTTGTACCTAATCTCCGAAAAAGTACAATTAGTAGGCAGATAGAGCAAACAATATAGAATACAGAACAATTTTTTCTTTTTCTTAGCTTTTGCTTATTTTCTACAATCAATTCCTCAATGCTATCAAATTTCATATTTAGTCAAGTCAAACCTCACAGAACAACAACCGGCAAGCAACTCGGGTGTCATTCGATGCAGCTTTTTCTCCTCTTTCTAGCGGTTGTTTTTTGTTTCCGATTCATCAAGTTTTTCGGGATAAAATCATCATAATACAAATTTTCCAGAGAGCCCCAAGGTGTACCCGAAATTTTCGAAAGTTGCTAAACCAAAGCTATGAATGCTCGTTTGGTTTGTAGAATTGTTGCCAAAGCATAATCCATCTTTGTAAGTTTCAAAATCCGGAGACTTGTTGGTATTTGATGCACTTGTGTCTGAGACAAGCCTGCTAAAATTCGGTGGTTCCATCAAATCTGTACAAAAATTATGACGAGTTCTAGAAAGTAGAAAAAAGTTGTGCTGTTTCCTGTAGGGTTTGCTCCATCCGTCCGTTACTTGGACTCCTTCTGAGGTTTGTTATACAATTTTAGAAAAATTGTGAAACTTGGCCATCTCAAAAAGCATAGGTCGCAGATTTTGAGTCTTTTCTGGAAGCTCATTAACTGTATTGCAACAACTTTATAACCCTTAAAAAGAGAATGAAATGCTGCATCAAATGCTACCAGAATCTCTTATATATCTTTGTTCCACGAGATTTGGCATACGTTTGAAAAAAGCGACATTACTTTCGGAACGACCTAATATTTGGAAGTACATATTAGGTCATTGCAGAAGTTTTTTTTGCTTCTTGAACTTACTTTCAAACCTCGTAAAATATAGATAAACAAATACTTCAAGCAGTTTCCGGTAATTTCTTCTCTTTTCCCAGCAGCCATGTCTACGATGCGGCCCTTTAGACGAGCGCTGAGATAATTGCCAAAGCTTACAGGCCTTCGTTTTTGCCATGTCCAACTTTCGCTGGTTTTCAAAATTTTTGTTTTTGACTTCTAAAGGCCCTCTGGCAACCATCTGATAGCGCAAACCTTTTACAAACTGGTGCATCTATTTGCATTTTCTCAACTTTTTTCTAAAACCTTGCTGAATTATTTTGCAAAGATGAATTTTCAAAAAAAATCGAGTGATACACAGCGGAACCAAACACCGCAAAATTTTTGGAATTTTTAAGTTTTAAACTCGAAACTACTAACAATGGAAGGATACTAGGTGACCATGGTCTTTTAAAATAAAAAGTACATTAATGAATGCCTCTTGAAGCGCTGATTTCAAATCTGCTTTCTGTATTTGCTGTGCACTCTTCCGAAAGAAGTTATGAACATTTCTTTTAACCCAAATTTGCATTGTTTTTGATGCAGGATTCACCAATATCGTTAGAACGTTCGCTTACGCATTGCAAAAGAGCGTACAGATAAAATAAGACTTCACGTTAAGCTCAGGAAAACTGTCACCGATACATCAGAGTCTAAAAGCCTGAGTATACTGACGATTTTGAGTGCCTGGATCTCGCAAAATCAATATGGAAAAAAGTTCATAACTTCGTTTAGGGAGTCGTACAGCAGATATTGAACATGAATTTAGAATCAGCGTTCCAAGACGCACCTGCTGGTATACATCTCATTGCAAAAGGCCACGGTCACCAAGTATCCTTCCCTCGTAAGACTTAAACTACTAAAACTACTACTATTTGAACTACTTACTTAAACTACTATTATTGATTTCACAAAGTAAATGGGCGATTATTCCTAAAAATACGCAGAATTTTAAGATTTACAATCAACAGCGAGCACTTCTAAAGTCGAGAAATTTGACGTTGTTTGTCGCGGATTGGGGTCCCCCGCTCCAGACGTCAGTGGTAACGCGCTCTCCTGCATCGGCGATAGGAGCGGAGGACGCCATCCGTGAGATAGAACAACGACACATGAGGAAATGGTAGCTAACCTGCTCCATGCTATTATGGCCTGCCACAAGCACAACGCACACGAATCAGAGGCCCTAAGCTACCAACCAACCCCTTGGCCTACTGCCAGCCATCTCGAGCCGTTCACTCATGGACACTTGTGTCTGCTTGCAACTTGGGGCACTAGCTAGCCTCGTGCCTGGTCTTCTGGCAGATGGATCCTTACAAGACATGAGTACACAAGAAACACAACAGCATACAGACATAACTGTGCCAAGGCCTGAGCCTATGGGCTACGACAAAAGTCAAAACACTACACTTCTAAGTGCCCACCATTTATCCCCAATTGAACCAACACACAAGCAACTCAGTACAATGAGCAGAGTACACACCGCCAAAGATCTCACCTAGGGGTCGGTAAAAAGAAACCCCCGCGAAGTGGCTCCTCGGCCCTGCGGCAAGCAAGGAACACACAGCCGGGTTATCTCGTGCAGGTGCCAGTCCTCCTAGCGTGCAGGTGTTGAACATCGCTGGCTCGAAAGGTGCGCTGCTTGATCGATCAATAGGCAGTTGAGGTAGTCGACCGCTCGCTGCTGGACAAGTGTGGGAGAATGCGTGACTTATGCGAAGTTAGACGTGGGAACGAGAGGCGGGGCAGCGCGAGGACTGGAGTTTTAGAACCCATCGCTTTGCGGTGGCCAACTCCCTATAAAGAAGTCGCACAATCCGCGACATTGTTGTTGAAGAATGTTGTTATTAGAAATTGTTTGCAAATTTCGCATGTTTTGCAGAAAACAGCGTAAAAGAGTAAAAAAGTTGCATCGATTGGCACCTGAACTGTTCACTGTTGAATGTTCTAGGAGTTTAGAACAGACCAGATATGAAAGCTGGTCACTTCAGAAAATATATTTTAGTAATTCTGAATAAAAATGCTAGAAAAATAAAAAAAGCTCATTAATTTGCAAAAGGTTATCAGATGGTTGTCAGAGGTGCCAAAGTCTGAAACTATAATTCTGAAAATTAGCGAAAGTTGCACATGGTAAAAGTGAAGGATTGTAAGCTTCGACAGTTATCCCAACGCTCGTCGAAAGAGCCGCCTCGTAAACATAGCTGCTGGAAAGAGGAAGAAATTCTGCATCGGATACTGTCAGGGCCCGGCACGAGGTGGGCAGACGGGGTTTCTCAAAACGAATTCTCCTTTGACCCCAATAGTTTTTAAGAGTACCCCCTTAAGCCCAAAAATGACGCTTTGTGCTTGTGGAACGAGAGCACCGGCCACACTTCGCCTAAAAGCGCTCAAAAGCGCCCAAAATTCTCAAATTCCTCTAATTACTTCTCTCCTGTATCATGGTAGAAAACAGGAAGAAGAATAAGCAAGGAAAATGATGAAGGAATGAAAAAATATCAAAGGAACGCAGTTATAGGACTGAGAGACGCCGTTCCCGCGCGTATCGATTGACTGGGGCGCGCTTTTCATCTTAAAAAGCTAGGCTGCTGATGCGATTTTGGGCTCTAACAAAGACAAGAGGAGGAGTTTCGGAACCAAAATCTCACCATATAGTAAACTTTAGGTAAACAACAGATTTATTAAAAATTTTGAAAAAATTATGTGAATCGAAAGTTTTGCCCACCTCAGGTGGGCATTAGGTGGGCAATTGCCCACCTAATTTGGAAAAAAGTTAAGCACGCTCTTCATTCACACAAGTCTTTCATAATCTTTCATACATTGTTCCTTAGTCCCACTGCGCGTATACACACCAAGTCTCGCGCGATTTCGTTTTCTTTGCGCTGCGAACGAGCCATTTTTCTATTTTCTTGATACTGGGAAATTTTGAAAAAAGCTTGCCACAACCTTCATTCACATGATTTTTCAATTAAACTGCTAAGATAAGCCCTGCAGGCTTCATGTACCTACCAAGTTTCATACCGTATGGTCATCTGCGCGCTGCAAACGAGCCATTTGAATTCGCATCTTCATTTACCAGTTTTGCGAAATTTTTGGAAAAAATGCTTATTACACCTCCCATTCACATAAGTTTTTCATAAAATTTCATGCTTTGTTTCTACTAGCCTCTCTCTGTTCGCTTACGTAATTTGGTGCTATATCATTACGCCTGCATTGAGAACTGATCATGTAATCATGCTGTTCAACGCATCGCTCATGCGACGTCGCGCACGAGGCAACTAGCGGCAACGCGGCGTAGTGCGCGCAAAGTCTGCTGTGCGTTGAGGTTTATGAAAACTATTTTCCGATGAATTAGATGTATAAGGTAAGCATGATTCGACCTTCTTTTGCTTGCACTTGGAATCTTCTTCCGGGGCTTCGCCCCGGATCTCGCAAAAACGATATCCCCTTTGCTTTTTGGCCCCAAAACGATTTCCAGCTTGTCATCTGCCCACCTCGTGCCGGGCTTTGGATACTGTTTGAAGTATTTGTTTATCTTCACTTTAGAGGTTTGCGGGTTGGTCTAAAGAAGACAAGGAATTTTTGCACCGACCTAAAATAAAAGTCAATTTTCAGCTTTCTGAATGTTACTTTTCGAAAATTATCGAATTTAGCTCTCCTCATTAGACTGTTCCATGTTAAAATCATCATTTAAAAAAACTAGGTTTACAGAAAGGTGGAAATCCACAGTTGTACTTATAGAGGCTCGTAGTATAATATTAGGTTGAACCGAAAGTTCTGTCGCACCATTTTCAAAAAATCATAACTTCTTTCGCTCACAATAATTTTCAGTTGAAATTTTCTTAGAAAGCGCAAAGCATGTAGTTTCCAATGCTTTTCCGGGGACTTTCAAACATGCTCAAGTTGCAGAGATAAAAGTGAAAGAACGAAATCATCCGAAATTCGGAATTTTTAAGCAAAAATTCTAACATTTTAGAAACTGTGAGATATCCAGAACAGCCATCAGCCTAAGATTTCTTATATTTTATTACTATGTGAGTCAAATTTGTGCTGATCAAGCTTTTCTTTCAAAAGTTATGATTTTTTGAAAAAAAATCCAAAAAATCATTTTTAAGAATTCTTGAGAAATCGATTTTTCGGCATTTTTTTCGAAAATTCATAACTTTTGAAAGAAGGGCTCGATCAGCACAAACTTGACTCAGTTAGTAATAGAATACAAGAAAATAGGATGATGGCTATTCTGGATTTTATCGCACAGTTTCTGAATTTTTGGAATTTTTGCTTGAAAATTCCAAATTTCAGATGATCTCGTTCTTTCATTTTTATCTCTGACTAAGCATGCTTGGATGTCCTCAGAAGAGTTTTGGAAACTAGCTTTACGCTTTCTAATAAAATTTGATCTGCGCAAAATTGTTGTGTGGGAAAGAAGTTATGATTTTTTTAAATGGTGCGACAGAACTTTCGGTTCAACCTAATACTTATGTAAACAGCATAGCTTCTTGTATAAGCATGAAAAATTTCGTTTTTTTTTTGATTTCTGACTGAAGAAAAAATACAAGGACTGTAGTTAAGAGCACTTGATCTGAAATGTGTATGTATGAGCGAATGAGAGATCGGTAAAATTTTTTTTGAAGAAAAATACAATTTTCCTTTTTTTTGAGCGTCCGGAGGCTTACAAATTTTGAACTTGAGTTGGATGGAAGCTGGTGCGATCCTTTACAAACCATCTTCTAAGGCTAGCCTTGCACTATCGAATGATACCCCAAGGTGATACTGAGATTAAGAAGTGTTGTGACTTACTGCGGCAAAAACAAAGTTAACCGGACTTGTGAAACAACCTAATAGCTTCTAAAAAGACAGCCATGGTTGAAACACCAGAAAAAGAAATAAAAAGAAATTTTCACTATGTTTTTCTGCGTTTCTTGTTTGTTGCGTAACTATTGGATAATGTTCAGACAGCTAGAGAAGCAGGATTAAATTTCTGGCCTGTCTTTGCAAAACTAGAAGGAGCGGGATTTCGCGGTGGCCCCACTACGACGCCGGCGTGGCCACTCCGTGTGGTAGAGCCATCCCCTGCGGACATCGAAATCATAGATGGTGTCGTTCGACGAACTTGCAACAACCAATGCCAGATTATTACAAATGCGTTGAAGCCTTTCGAAGAAGAGCATCGATCAAGCACCAACAATCACTGGTTTGACAAAATATTGACAGAGAATATCCATAAAACAAGCTAGATTATCATTAGGGTAGGAGATACAAAAGAGATGAACATCACGAAAATCAAAATCCCTTCGATCAGCTGCATTTTCCACAGAATACAAAGGACAGTTGTACACTGTGTGGGTTCATTTTTACTCTTTAGGTATGAAAGTCTTGATATCATGAATGATTCAGTTCCAATTTTTGAGAAATGTGCTATGGCAGGCACTGAAGAACATCCGGGTTTGAAACGCCTATGTACAAGTACTCTTCATTTATGGAACTTAATATTACCAACAAAGCTACGACTTCTAGAGTGTCAACGTATCTACCGAGTCAGTTTGAACTGCTATCCAAGATTTGTGAATGCAGCAACATGCAGTGATCACGTGAGATGCATATTCAATAATGGTAGCGCGAAACTTCTCCCTTCTATGACGTTTATGAATATTCAATATTAGAAGGTAAGCCCCAAGGCACTGGAAAGCCAGAAGTGTTGCCTATGTATTTGTTACGAAACGTTGGAAATGATTCATGCCATAACTACAAAACTGAAGAATTTGAGGTATGTACTAGGATTCTATCCTTGTGAATACTGTAGCAATCAATGCATATTTTTGAGGCAGACTGTAGAACAATACTCATCCCACAAAATGCTTCACTTTCTAAAAGTGCTCTTAAACTTTTGAAGCTTTTTTTGCTCATCTTGATGCATGTTAGCCCTCAGCTCTCACTCTTCCAAAGGCAAAGATTTTTTCGTAGCGGTAAGTCTTGAGTGAGAGGCATTCATGAGCCCTCAGAAAATCTCATCCTTTCAATTATCCGCTTCCTCGACACAATACAAATGATAAGTGTACAGAGCTGAGTTTATCAAACTGATCGAAGGAAGTCATGCTTACCGTAACAGTTCTTCATTCTTGTGAAAAACAAGGTTGATATTCGTCATCACAAGGCACCCGTACTATACCATACTACCTTGAAAAAAGAAAATGTTGTAAATAAGGCTAGCTCAAAAAAACCTCTCAACAACTGCGTCGACCTTATGCACTTATTTTCGTAAGTTCATCTCAAAAAGAGCTCTCTTTAGCGTAAAGTGTACGATTGCTTTTGTATTTATAATAGAATAATTTTTGAATGTATCAACAACTGAGTCGGTTATGATTTACCAAAAATATAAGCAGGTTATGGTTTACCAAAAATGTGAGGTATATCTCAAGTTTTTGGTAGTCGCTGGAAGGTATATGTGCGCTAAGTAGGCAGTCAATTTTGTCCTTGGAGCATCAGTTAGACAAAATTCATAAAAGTTTGATCTTACCAAGTGAAACCCGCAAATGTGTACTAGTTTTTGGCAATTCCATTGAATTAACATTCGCAGCTTCTTCCATCTTTCCTCTATTTTGTAATGCGCTCATTTTTGACATTGACTTGTGATGAAAATTACGAAATTGCACAAACCTTTTGATTCTAGATAACAATAATGGGAAAATACAAGCACGGAAGGGTGTTGCTAGAGAATGGAAAAGCTTCTATTAAACCTTCCAGAAAGTTTTTCATTTTAGCAGCAATAAGTATATTAGTGTTTAACATGTTGAAGTACACCACTAGTTTGAAAATGTTGAGGTCTCACTGCTTAGCAATAGAGAGACGCTCTTCCAAATCTGACGGGTTCAACTTCTCGAGTGCCAGATCTTGATTTGTCTCCAAATTCAAATTTTTACTGACAAGGGAACCGTGTCGGGTCGAAGTGGCCTTTCCAGATGAGACCCATACTGCTTTGAAGAGCATTAATCGGTGATTCCAAATCTGCTTTCCAAATCTGCCAAGCGCCTCTGGACGCCGAGTTGTGCTCATTTTTCAGGTCAAAAAATTGAACGCAAAACTAAAGCAAAATCGCCCAAATTTGCTCAAATGGTCCAGTGTCAAGTATCAGAGCTGTTTATGCAATGGATACATTTTATTCAATATGCTAATACTTAACATTGCTTTATCTGAGCGCTGGAAAGATTGTAACAATCAATTTTACCTAAATTCTGCATTCATTTTTCGTTCCGAAGAACTGTCATAACTCGGCGTCCAGAGGCGCTTGGCAGATTTGGAAGGCAGATTTGGAATCATCGCTTAATACTCTTCAAAGCAGTATGGGTCTCATCTGGAAAGGCCACTTCGACTCGACGCGGTTCCCGTGTGAGTTCAATCCGCAAATGTTGTAATGTTTTAAACTTACAATTTGCTTGGAGACTCTTGGCCACTTAACGCCATCCAAAACCTGAGAAAATGCATTAGGTTGTCCAAATTTCTTTCGCTCGATAGTATTCTTTCCAGTTTTAACTCCTCTTTGTAGTAGTTTTTTCTGCTTCCTGCATAAAGGATTTGAAATAATGCCTTAGCTTCTCAAAAAATTTCGCAGATGCGCCCAAATTGTCCTATTCTCCAAATTGTTTCCATAGGTGCCGAAGAAGAGTAGCAGACGATCAATTTTCACAAGTTTTTGTGATCATTCGCTAGCAAAAATCTTTATTTTCAGTACATTAAACTCAACAAGTACCCAAGTACCAGGGCGTACAGCCGCTTCGCTATGTTTTGCGGAACGGTTCTCTTCGCCAATACGCAACTCGGTATAAGGCTTTTTCGCAAAACCCTATGGCGTGTTTGGGCTAGCTGATTTTAGGAAAAACCCTTGAATACCCTTGCGTACCCTTGAATAGTCGCTATCGAGTCTAAAATAGACCCCTAGTTGCTCAGTGGACGAATTCGAATTTGAACTGCAGCAGGCGAATAGCGGCAGAGCGGGGCAATGAGACCTCGTTCAAATTTACGTTTTCGTTTTTTACAACGTTGCTTGCTAAACGTATTATGACAATGTTATTGATCAGAATTGGCGTACCGTTATAGTGAGTGCTTTTTTGCGCAGTTACGCCCAGTTTTTGTTTGAGCGTCATCATTGAGACTGGAAGGAATACAGACGGCAAATTTTTGTGACATTAACCACTAAAGCAACACTTCCACACACGTTACTTACAAAAAAGAAGAAGGAGAGCTTCTTATCTGTATCCTTTCTTGAATCTTAGCTGTATTCAAACTTGGAGTCGAGCATAGCAGTAAAAAACAGTGCTCGACAACCACAAAATAGTCAATTTTGATGAAAAACATGCTTATAATAAATAATTAACAAATAACTGCATTGAAAAACGATTTAAAAAACGTTGTTTGGGTTTGCAAGTAATGATCGGAGCATAGGGACGTTGAGTAAAGGAACTACGCAGCAAATGGAGTAAACTGCGTCAAACACAATTTCAAGCGCTTCACAGACAGCCTCGTTTCTAAGATTTTGTGATCGTTCAAAAAATGCGAATGGAACTGTTTAGAGAGCTATCAGCTTTCCGGTTATTTTGAAATTCTATATGCAAAAGCTGCCATTCTCTATTTACGACACTCACTACTTCCAAATCGTTTGATTATCTTGACTAAGGCGAAAAGCCAACAAATGGAATTCTTTTCCGAGTTGCAGCAGCTAACTTCAAAACCTTTTTGTGTCTGTCTACGCTCACGTTAGAATTTATCCTAATGAGTGTAGTTTATAAGTAGGGTCAAGCGTGGGGTGTGGAATGCCATACGGGTGGGTGGGGGGGGTTGTAATGAGAGGTCAGGGAGCGTAGGTATCAATCGCCCGTCCGAGCAAGCTACTCGGACAGATAGTTTCCGCTTCACAGCTCGGCGCTCTGGGGATCTGTGTCCTTGCTGTCGCTCATATTTTGGAGGTTCTGCTACCCTAATATTATAGCACAATGAATAGTAGCACTTTGCTGTATAAGTGAAACTAGCTGGCTTGCCCGGCTCCGCCCGACCCTGTCAAAAACGATAAAGGTTCCATTTCTATCCCTGTACACCTTTACCTTTGCCCACTTCTGCATGCAATTCCCTATTCCCGCTGTGTGAGTAATCAGTATGCTCATCTTCCTTCCTCACCAATCCCCCAGCCCTGTAGCTCAAACTTTGCAAAAAAACAATAAAGTCGATAAAAGTAAGGGTAATTCTAAAAACTGATGGCGCTATTCGGCTATCCGGGCCCTAAAATGTTTTTGTGGTGGGTCTTGCTCAAACTCGGTATATGGGGGTTACTCGAGCCGCTGATGACGAATATCGTAGTCATTTCGCGTGGCAGAAGGTAAAAATTATGAACCTGCCTGGAACCTTGGTGGGGAATTACCTAAAGTGCTGTTTCAAGAATATCGTGCTTAATCTCCACGATAACGGCAATTCGTGTGGTATATAAGTTTTCCACGACAGTAATGCTTCCCTTATAGGACCACTGGCGCGCGCGATACACCCTTCGGCGGCTTTTGCCTAAGCAAAAACAGGGGGAGGGGATTTGCCGCGTGCGTTATGCGTTACGGACAGGTTATCAGGATGGCGCTGGAGAACGACATGCAAAACGACCGTTTCTCCATCTTTCTCTTGAATATCTGGGATCTAAATTAGCCCAAAAGCGAAAAAATTTCGATTCAAACCCTGCAAATCACCATAACTTCACTATTGTGTTATGACAGCGAGCAAGCATCATATTCATAAGCGATGTACTTGTGAACCGTTACAGGTAAGGTTTTAAGGAAGTCTGGAACCTCGACCCATCTACACCCACCGTAACCCAAGAAAATGCACTATTTTGCGTCAGCATGGTATTCATGTTCAGCGCGCTAAATGACCACCCTAAACGAAGTTTAAGGCAAATCTATGTTTTCGACCCTATACTATAACCACCATAACTCTTTGAAAAGGTCCCAATATTCAGAGAGAGTATGAAATTCGTAATCCGCATGTCGAATAAGTTCTCTGGACAGAACTCCAGCTGAATTCATGATTTTGACTTCCTACCGTACACCTACCGTAATCACACGGGGAGACGATCTGGGGAGAAAGTGTGATATCTGTAATCAGCATGTAGATAACCCTTATACCACAGGTGCGATAGTGTGAGACTTTTCTCACCCCCTCTTCACCCCTGAGCGGGGACCCAAGGTGACCCCCTTCACCAAAAGCCGAGAAAAAAATCAACAGTGAAGTAAGGTTAAGCAAAGGAGATATTTGTACGTGAATTGTCAGTGTATGGGAAAGGAGGAGTCTGTTGAAAAAAGTGCTTGGTGACGGGTATGAGTAGTGATTTCTGGAGATTTTCGGGTTTTTGACATAAAAAAATTCATAACTTTTGTAGATGAACATCTTTTACGGCGAGGTGGTCACCATTAGAACCGCCTCG